CCCCAAAACCCCAAAACCCCATGGACTGATTCTATAGATAAAAATCTAGAAATATAGCTTATGGTGAAAGTATTTGTTTATATAGAAAATATTCGATGAAAATATCATTTGATGATGTTCAAGCATTTTAGTACAGCAATGCTAAGATTACTGGTGAGTATAAGCAAGCCTCCCAAAAGCTAGTTCAATTTAAGAGAAGTTCTAAATATCATTATATCAGCAAGGCAATTAACAATGATCTGAATATACAAAATAGGTGCTAGTCTTCCAGCTTTTTCATACTTATAAGCCCAAGTTTAAAACAGTAATACGAGATACAAAAGCACTGAAATGAGTATAATCATAAGGATTTCAAATTGCCCATAAACTACAAGGGTATTATCTACGATTATCAACTTGAAGATCATCATCACTGGAGTCATTAGTATATTAAAAAATGCAAATGACAGAGTCGGGAAAAAGTAATGAGCTCGACCTGCTAATTTTCTCACACTGAATCCAACTATACCTGCTAATACTGAGCCTAGCAGAGCGAAAAAAGTTCCCATCATATCTCTAAAGGTATCATCTGACTTAGGCTAACTTTAAAATGGGTTTTAGATTAGGAGAACTCCAATAAAAGCCAGAAAACAGGCTATCCAATCAAAATATGTCAATTTCTCTTTCAAAAACACTCTTCCTAGTATAGCTATGATTATTGGGTTAGTCCAAAATAGTACAGAAGCCTTTGACATAGAAATAAGCTGAAGAGCAATGTTAAAGCAGATATTAGCACATACTCCTATAGTTCCTCTTAGAATCAGTGTAGGAATGGCTTCCTTACTCATACTGAATGTATCAATCTTTTAATATCTCATATTTGCATAAACTACTAAGAATAGCAACCAGCCATACCAATAAGCAAGTTCAAAGGGATGTATAGGTGAATTGTGAAGCAAAGCTTTCTAAGCTACTGCTAGTCCCGAGCAGGATAGAGATGATAAAGTCATATAAAATATACCCTTTACACTGTTCATCAGCCTCTACCTCTTTTACTACGAAGTCTCCATCATAACTATTACAAAATATAATGATAGAATTAAGCATCACCATTCAGATAGTATTATTAATAACGAGATTATAATTAAAATTTGAAACCAATAGACTTGCTTCTGCTCTCTAAATAATATACTCATGGGGTTTTGGGGTTTTGGGGAGATCGGAAGAG